TATATATATATATATATAAGTGAACAAACATTTGAAACATGAATTTTAAAATAGCCTTCAAATCAGATCAAATTTAGTGGACCTAGTTATATTTAATTGCAAATTAAATTTCTTACATTAATACTATTAATTATAAACATTTGTTATAATTAAAGAATAATTCAGATATTAAGTAAGACTATTACCATTAAAAAAATGTCTATATTTGAGTTTTGTAAATGAAAAAATATGATTGAGATTAAAGAATATATTAAAGGTGATATATTATCTGTTGAATATTAAAAAAAATAGATAAAGACTTTTACACTTAATTAAAATATCTTTAAATAATTTTAGAATATATTTTGTGAATTATAACAATTAAAAGTGATGAATTGATATATATGTAGTCAAATCACAAATAATTTATAATATTTTTTTAATATTTTTAAAACATGATATTTTTTAAATTATAGTTAAACTTTAAAATTATAATTATATTTCATTTTCACATGATTGACTCTAAATAAATAAAGTAGTATTTTCAATTGTAATTTCATATTTAAATCATAGATCAAATTTCGATCCTTAATTAAAAAGTATAAGTGATATGTACTTATGCTTACCATTTTTGATAAAATGTCATGTACATGATTATTATTGTATTTTATTTTATTTTTTTAGTTATGAAAATATATTATAATAAAATAATAATTAAATGTAATTATTTTATATATGATATTAAATTTAAAAATAATTTAAAATATTTAATTTTAATTGATAATTAACGTTATAAATTAAGAAATATATCTTTCGTTGACTGTACCTAACCAAATTTAGTAGCCCTAATTATATTTAATAAGAAATTAAATTGTTAACATTAATGCCATTTATATACAATTTGTTTATATTTAATTATTATTTTTATTATTATTTTGATAGTAAGTAGTAATATTAAAGTTTGTTTGGAAAAAAAATTAAATAATTCAATAATTTGTTATTATATATAAACTTGTTTTATACATGTTTAAAATTAAATAAGCTATTTATGTTTGGATATACATGTTGACAAGTGTTTACATAATTTTAAAGTATTTAGATATATTGTTATATTTCATAAAAAAAAATGTATTGTTTGTATAAAAATTTACAAAATATTATCTCGTTGAAAAATTTGATTAAAAATAAAAATAACTCCTCATTATTTTACAATTTTAATTTTTAATATACAAAAATCAAGTATTACAAATTAAAAATAAAAAAATAAGTGACACACACACAAAAACAAAACAAAAAAAACACATCATGCACCTATATTAAAAATTTCAAATTAAAAAATTTAATTGTCAAAATATGGTTAAAATATAAATTAAAGTATTGAATTTAAGTCATATAAATAAAAATATATTAAAAGATAATATTACATTAAATATAATCAGTTAAGTTTTTCAAATAATATTTTTAATTAACTCTCCCACTTTTACACAAAAACTTAAGACATGAGATCAAATAAAAGGGTTATAACTTTTCAATTGAGGGCCTACACATTACAATTTTAAGAACCATTTTTTAATGAGTGTTTTTAGAATTTTCTTTAAATTTATAATGTACTTTTATTTTAAAAAGTTATTAATAACTAAAAAGTCATTAAAATATAATGCACTTTTATTTTTGAATTAAATTTCAAATTTTGTTTTAAAAAGTTATCAATAACCAAAACATTTGTTTATAATATAAATTATTTATTATAAACTTAAAATATAATTTATATAATAAAATATATATTTATTATAAATTTTAGTTATATAAAATAAAAATATATCCATGTAATGCACATGTTAAGTACTGGTTTTTAAGTAACTAAAAATGTTTAAATAATTAATAAAGATCACTATAGTCAATGTAATAGTGAGGGTTCAAATATTATGAAAGAAGTGTTAGGTTTGAATAAAAGAGGCATTATTTGAAAAATTGGTGAGATGAAGGTTTATTTGGGAGGTTGAGAGGTATATAAGAAATGAGACCCACCCAACCCATATTGCAATGTAACAAGTTAAGACTAGCATTTCATATCTTTCTCCTTCTCTCTATAAGCCAAAAGGGATCAATTGATTCATCATGTCTTTTGTTGTGGCAGAAGATGTGAGGAAGAGGGCAAAAATGTACTATGGAGATGAAATTTGCCAAGTGAAGTCAAGGGAGATGCTAAAGGAAATGGGCCTTCCTAATGGTCTCCTCTGCTTGAAGGACATCCAGGAGTGTGGCTACGACAAGGAGTCTGGCTTTGTCTGGCTCAAGCAGAAGAAAAGCTACACTCACAAATTTGAGAAAATTGGAAGGCTTGTGTCCTATGCACCTGAGGTCAGTTGCCATATTGAAAAGGGTAAGATCACAAAACTTGTTGGGGTTAAGTCTAAGTACCTCATGATTTGGATTGGGATCAGCGACATTTATGTCGATGACCCACCCACTGGCAATATCACCTTCCAGATCCCTTCCGGCCAATTTAAGAAACATCCTATCTCTGCCTTTGATATTGAGGAGGATGCCAAGGAGAGTAAGCAAGTTAAAGAGGTCTAATATCATATATCATTATGTGTTAAGGAGGTGGTTGTGTTGCCAAAGTTCATCAATAAATTTATTTCTATTGTTACCCTTTTGTATCAATCTTAGCAAGCCTTTTATGGCTTTATATTATAGATAATGAACCATCCTCTTGTTATCATAATGCCAATTTGATTTCATAAATGCATTTGTTGTTAATCTTTTTTCCCATAATTATTTATCTCTTTCTCTTGCATAATTTTTTAGAAGTAAATATAGGGGAGTAAGCGGGTATGAATAACTTGCAACTCAAACTGACCCAATGAGCTTGAATTATATTTTTTAGTGTTAAATTCAAAGCCAACTATTGAGGAACTATTTGAGATTAGTCTTTTTTCTTGTTAAATATAATCTAATTTCTAATAATGGACTTAAAAACATGACAAGTGCATCGGTCGTTCAAGTAATATATAAGATCGTATCTACAGGAACTAGATAAGGTAAAATAAGCACTTAATGACTATTAGTGACTAAAGAATGATTCCATTTGGTAATTTGTGTTAAGTGTGAAAGTAAATAACATAAACTACTCTAAGGATAATTTTGTCAAACAGTTTGTGTGCGAAAAAGATAAGGAATGATATGATGGATTTGTGAGGGTTAGACTTCACAAAACCTCACTCTCATGCAATTAATTCTTCTCTTATTGCATATATTGTTTAGTCATCTCATAAGTATACTCAAACCTAATCCCTTAGAGAAAGAGCCTAGGAATATATATTGAATATCAATTTCTTGAGTATCCAACATATGAACCTGTATTAATAACTAGGGTTTGAGACTACTAATGGGCCAAACTCCATCCTAGATATATTTTTCACTAGGTATTTTGTTTCAAAACTAATTTCAAGGGTTATTTTCCAATACCTCATGGATCCTATATCAAGCAATGAGAGATCAATCTAAGGCAAACATTAAGAATAAACACATAATATAACAATGAATGAAATAAACATTTATCATCGATAGGATAAATATTACACAAGAGCTTAGTTGGTTACATCTAACCCCACAAAAAATAGGTACAATCACTCAAAACTATGAAGGCAAAACAAAAATAGAGATGAAAGAGGGGATGAAAGAACCACAGGAGAGACCCACACACGACATGGTCCCAAGCACTGGGAATCCTTTCAACAACTTCAAAAATCACTCCTTATGTGAATGAGGGGAAAACCCTAAAAAATGTGTTCAAATACGAGCTGAATGAGTTAGGATAGGTTTCACATGATTGATGTAGAGTCTTCTAGAGAGTTGTTCTTTGCCTGGATTCACGCCCGATGCGAGTACATATGCGCCTGACATTATAGTGAAAATCAGAGAGTGGTGCTCTCTATCTTGAACACGCCTAGCGTGATAACATACAAGCTCGGCACAAAGTGCTTTCTCCTGCTCCTTAAGCTCTTCATTTTTGACTCTTTCAAGCTCCAATCCCATGGATCCTCAATATCAAGCTCTTAAACTCAATACCTACACAAAAAATGAGGTGTATTATGGTATTGTTATATGATTCTTGAGTTAATTATATATGACAAAAAAATTGAATCAAAAGAGAACAAATATTATACAAGATGGAATGAAGGAGTTGAATTTGCTCAATATTTTGTATCAAAAAAGTAAGTAGAAATGTGACTCAACACCAACACAAGCCAATCAAAACTCGCTAATATACAAGTCAGATAATAAATTTTGTATTTTTAACCCATGATCTGACCCGACCCAATCACATATAATAATAATAATAATAATAATAATAATAATAACAACAACAATAATAATACTAATAATAATAAGTAGTTAGTGTTTGGATGGTTACTTGCTTATGACAATACTGATTGTCACTTTTACTTAAGTAACAAGTTTTGTGTTTTTAGGTTGATAGTATTGTAATAATACAACATATTTATTTTAAATTTTATTTTATATTAATGTTGGTTGTTCGAGTTGATAACAATGTAGTAAGTCATGTAATTGATTTTGAAAACAATATTCTTACTAATCATAATTTTTTGGTGAAGATGGTAATTTCAAACAGAAACAAAAACAAAAAACTACACTATCCAACAATGAAATTTATAATTGTTATAATTTATGGAAAAAAATCTCTTTCATCTACCAAAATCATCTTCAAGAAATTTGTTTGCAATGGATTCTTTCACAATCTTATTATACGAACTCTTATCTTCCAATCAATTTTTCCTGCTGCAATGTCCTTTAGTAGTATAAACCTCTGAGCCATGTCCTCTAAAAGAAGATGAAAGTATAAAGGAAAAAACTTTTAATATGTTCAGTATACATAAACATTGAAACAACTAACCTTTAAAATTAAAACTTCATACAAGCTTATCTAAAAATGATTTTCCTATGATTGATAGAGAAAGTGTGAATTCTCATAGTAGAAGTATAAAAGTACCAAAATCAGAAAGTGAACAATGTATATATGGAGATAATATTTTTAGAAATAGAGAGTATGATGGACTAGGACAATCAGAATGAAGTTTTGAAAAGAAAAATGTCTTAAAAATTAGAAGATAGTTAAGATCAATTGACATTAAAAAATTGTAATCAATGCATAAGAAATAAATATCCATAATTACTTTTTTGAGTGGAAGACAAAGTGGAAACAATTTAGTGGAAAACGTATAAAACAAAGAGAATGAAAAAAGATTTTTCTTTTGTTCAAAAGTACTACAAAAGTACTAAAGTTTTAAAATTTATTAAACTAAAAGAATAAAATTTAAAATAATTATGATAAGATAAAATTATATAAGTACTATTATTTTGAGCGGGAAAAGAGAATCACAGACTTCTTTCCTTTTATTATAATAAAAATAAAGATAAAAGTTTACAAAATTATATTTAATAAACATTATATATATATAAATTATATAATATTATCATTTAATCATTTTAGTAATAACTAAATCAACATGTTTTGTTGTTATATTTGACTTAAATAATTTATATGACATATACATTTTATAGATTAAATATTTAGTATACATAATTAAAATTTATAATAAATTATATATATATATTATATTTAAATATATAAAATATATTTAAAATTTATATAAATAGATATTTTTAATTCAAGAATCTCTAAAAACTTTTCCATTTAAAAATAAGTGCAGAAATTAGTCTGATGTCCAAGGAGAGTTGATGATTTAAAATTTTAAACATGATTTAAAATAAATATAATGAAACATATAAATTATATTTGAGATAAATAAATAAATAATATTTAGCATAAAAATAAGAAGAAAAAAAATAAAAAAGAGTATATAAAAGCGTGAGTGTTGAGTGGCAGGATTGAAAAAATGGGGAGAAGAAGGGTGAAATAGGGAGGTTGAGAGGTATAAAAGGAGGGGAGGGAAGATGAGAGCATATTGCATAGGAGAAAAGGAGTAAGGAGAGAGAAGTGATAATGTCTGTGGTGGTGGGTGAAGAGGTGAGGCAGAGAGCAGAGGTGTACCATGGAGACGAAATCTGCCAAGTGAAGTCGAAGGAGCTGCTGAAGGAAATCGCTCTCCCCAACGGTCTCCTTCCTCTCAAGGACGTCGAGGAGTGCGGCTACGACAGGGAGTCTGGCTTCGTCTGGCTCAAGCAGAAGAAGAGCTTCACTCACAAGTTCGACAAAATCGGAAAGCTGGTGTCCTACGCCCCAGAGGTCACTGCCCATGTTGAGAAGGGGAAGATCTCTAAACTCACGGGGGTCAAGTCCAAGGAGTTCTTGCTTTGGATCACTCTCAGCGACATCTACGTCGATGACCCCCCCACTCATAACATTACCTTCAAGACCCCCGCTGGCCTCTCTAGGCAATACCCTATCTCCGCCTTTCAGATTGAGGAACCCCAAATCAATGAACTCTGATTTTCATCTTTTAATTACTCTTCTGTCTTTCTTTCCTTCTGCTTTTTTTTTTTTTTTTTTTTTTTTTTTTTTTTTTGTTGCTTAGAGTTCACGCCCAATGAATACCATACCGATGGAAGAAAGGAACAGTTTGGGCCTTTGGGCCTCTTTTCTATTATTGCTTTTATAAAAAACAAAGGAAATATGGATAGTAATATTTTGATTTATGAACCACGGTCAAATATCAACTACCGAATCTTAATAGATAATTTATGAGTTCATATAGGCTCATATGTTTCGTCTTTAGCCGAAAGAAAGGATAACAAATAGGACTCATAAAAATAAAAATGAACACCATTCCGGAAACATGAAAAGTTGTAAGGTAGGGGCCAACAACAAACTATACCTTTCATTTAATTTAAGGAAAGCACACGACTCTTTCCAAACCATTCAGTGTTAGGTGTAACTAGTTTATTGTAAAAATTTGCTGTTGAAAAAAAAAAAAAAAACAATTTTAAAATTTATTCATTTCCATGGATGGATTTTGACAAGTTCTAAAAAGAAAACAATTTTTTATATATATAAAAAAAAGTGTTCTTCAACGTATATTATAACTCAGAAGATTTCAAAGAGGCTTGCAGATTGGATTAGATATGTTTTGAGAAAAAAAAAGAAGAAAAAGTTATTTGATCTAATAGCAAAGATCATCGCAACATCAAAAATCACATTTTATAACATTTTTTTTTTATGTATTTAAACACTTCATATATAACTTTAACTTGACATGTAAGTATCTAAATTATTAACTTCTTTTAACTTAATATGTAAGCATTCTCAAAAAAAAAAAAAAAAAACTTAATACGTGATTTCTCGATTTATAATTTAAATTTATATCTTAAATTTAGATACTTACATGTTAAGTTAAAAACAAACTTAAAATGTAAGTATATGAATTTAAGATATCAATTCAGATTATAATCCGAGAATTTACAAATCTCTCGTAACAGAATACATGTGAAAAAAAAAAAAAACAGAATACATAATAAATGCCGATTTGGTTTTGAGACCTAGTTTCGAGGTGTGACTGTCCTGAATAGAAGGTCCAACTTAAAAAAATAAATAAATAATATATATATATATATATATATATATATATAATTGTGAGATAAATTGTATATTATTTTATATTACTTTTAAAAATAAATCATGTCTTATATATTTTGTTTATATTTAAATATAAAATTGTGATATAATTATAAAATTATATTATTTTTATTAATTTTTCATGCATTATATTCGTATATATAAAATATGTTTTAATCTTTTTACTTTTTTTCAAGTTTGATTTTAGTTTTGTTCTATTTTAATCATTTTAATTTGGAGATGGTCACTTTTAATAAATTCAAATTATATTAAATATCAAAAATAAAAAAACCAAAATTACATAGTAATAAAAGTAAAACAATCAAAACTACGATTTAACCTTTATTTTGTAGATCTTTCCGGCTTTCCCAATTTTGTGATCTGAAGGGCAGTTTCAAGTTTCAACCAAAGCCAAGTTAAGATATCAAAACAAAAAATATTTTGTAGTCTCATGGCTACATTGTTTATTAAATTTGGCAGGTAGGGTTAATTATTAATTATTGATTCCTCAATTTGCTTCCTACTTTTCTTATTCAATTCCGTTCAAATGCCATGACTGACTGATTTTACTGCAATATCAACCTACTTACGAAAAAGAGTGAAAAGACTAACACGTTAAAATTAAAAATAAAAATAAAATATTTCAGTACAAAGTTCATATATAATATTCTAATTCCACTGGTGTATATGAATTTCCTACGGTCACCCATGCATCTTGTATTTGAAGCAATTATCTCCTCGTTTTCAGGGAAAGACAATTTAAATGTGTAAAAGACACGTGGTAGAGAATCAGAGATAGTAGATGCATTATGGCTGAACATAACATCAACACATGTATGTCAGCTATTAATTTCAATGCCTATACTAGCATTGGCTATCAATAAATTTCTCCCAACAAACAAAGACAGGACGGACATAAACAAAATCAAAACAAGGATTCACAATTACCCTCAAATACTCAGATGTGAAAATCAAATGATATCAAATTTAATTCAATTTAAGCTATGATTTCAAATTTTATATTTTGGATATACAGTTTCATTAAAAACTATATTATTTTTATTAATTTTTCATGCATTATATTCGTATATATAAAATATGTTTTAATCTTTTTACTTTTTTTCAAGTTTGATTTTAGTTTTGTTCTATTTTAATCATTTTAATTTGGAGATGGTCACTTTTAATAAATTCAAATTATATTAAATATCAAAAATAAAAAAACCAAAATTACATAGTAATAAAAGTAAAACAATCAAAACTACGATTTAACCTTTATTTTGTAGATCTTTCCGGCTTTCCCAATTTTGTGATCTGAAGGGCAGTTTCAAGTTTCAACCAAAGCCAAGTTAAGATATCAAAACAAAAAATATTTTGTAGTCTCATGGCTACATTGTTTATTAAATTTGGCAGGTAGGGTTAATTATTAATTATTGATTCCTCAATTTGCTTCCTACTTTTCTTATTCAATTCCGTTCAAATGCCATGACTGACTGATTTTACTGCAATATCAACCTACTTACGAAAAAGAGTGAAAAGACTAACACGTTAAAATTAAAAATAAAAATAAAATATTTCAGTACAAAGTTCATATATAATATTCTAATTCCACTGGTGTATATGAATTTCCTACGGTCACCCATGCATCTTGTATTTGAAGCAATTATCTCCTCGTTTTCAGGGAAAGACAATTTAAATGTGTAAAAGACACGTGGTAGAGAATCAGAGATAGTAGATGCATTATGGCTGAACATAACATCAACACATGTATGTCAGCTATTAATTTCAATGCCTATACTAGCATTGGCTATCAATAAATTTCTCCCAACAAACAAAGACAGGACGGACATAAACAAAATCAAAACAAGGATTCACAATTACCCTCAAATACTCAGATGTGAAAATCAAATGATATCAAATTTAATTCAATTTAAGCTATGATTTCAAATTTTATATTTTGGATATACAGTTTCATTAAAAACTCATAATATTCTTATTAGATTTGAATATGATTGTGTCCCAAATAAACAATCTTTCTGTACTATTACCTTAGAAGTCATGACATGATGCAACTTTATGTCTTTAACCGGATTGAAATTTCCTTTTCTAGAATCCATATTCTGTTTTCTATTATAAAAAAATTTGATTTTATATGTTAAGAAAATTGGTTATATACGTTAAATTTTATTAATTTCATAATATTTTTAAAAAATTTTCCTAGTTATAAATGTAAAAAAGTAGTAAAACTGAAAAGTTATGTATTAAATAAAGAATATTTTAGAAAAAAATTAGTAATCGAAGTAAAAACAATTAAAATTCATTTATATTTTAAAAATGTATATTATTTTTTGTTTATAACAAATAACAGAGGAAATATATCGTATGTCAAAACTTATATCCTCGTAAGAAATAAGTAGTACTTTGTTTCAGCTAGATCTCACTATCCTTTCTTTTATTGATGAGTTGAAAAAAAAGGCAAAATTGAAAGGATATAATCTGTTTTTAGTATATAAGTGTTGTGCAACGGGAATGCTTTGGGCTCAGCCCTCTCTGCTAGGAAGACTCTCTTCCAAGCGTATTGTTTGAATGATATAAAACTTTACTTGCGTCCTAACAATAAATGACATTAATATTTTTTATGATTAATATTTATTATTATTCCAAATTATTTTTTTTTAACTCTAGTTAGAAATGGCAATGGAGTAGAGAGTAACCCCATCAGACATTTTGTTTAGAATACTTATGAACTTTTTTAAAATTTTAAGTTTTAAATAAAAAGATAAGAAATAAAATGAAACTTGTTCTTACCGGAAATCTGTTGTAGAGCTGATCCGCCAGGTAAGATTGGTGAGCCTCCTTCGCTGGTACGCTTGATGCTCCAAGATGGGGGTGATACCTGCAAAAGAGACTCCGATGTTAAAGTTAGTGTTAGTGGGAGTATCAATCTTGTATAAGTAATGCACGTACCTTAGTGTGGATTAGGGTTGTTTTGGGTCTTGGGCCTGAAATAAGATATGATAAGATTAGATAGAGGATCTCGTCTGGAGCGAGATCCCTTGAGATTGATTATGATCTACTTAAGTGTCGAGCTGACGTCACGCGGTGCGCGTCCGAGGTCAGCTTGCGTTGTGGTACCGAGCTCGGAGCTCGGCTACGCGGTACGGATAGAACACTAGCACCCCAAGTTCCGAAGACGGTAGGTCGAGGAGTTAAGGCCGAGCTCGCTGGGGGGAGGTGACCTTTCGCGTACGTTTGCTCGTTGTGGTGCCATGTATCGCGACTGTTCATTTCTCGGAAACGTGCAAGTGGCGCGTTGTGGGAAATGACGGTTATGTTATGATGGTCTTGCAATTTATTTTGTTGTCAGGCGTGTCCCCTGACCGACACGTGGCGTGACGGTTTTGAAGTATGGGAGAAAGCCCTTTTCTTTTTCTTTCCCGCGTCTCTTCCCATTCACTCCATTTTCTTATACTCTTTGACTTCTTGGGTACGATAGTCCTCTGTGCCTTCGCGTTCCTAGCTTTCTCGCTTTCGTCTTCGTTTTCACAGTCTTTCTTCGAGTCTTCTTGATGGCGGGTGGTCGTGGCGCCGGTTCTTCTGCGCCTGCCAGGGGCAAGACGCGCGGCAAGGCGGTGGCTACCGGGAAGGGTGTCGCCGAGAGGAAAGACCCGCCCCCGCCTAAGGACCTGGATCCGGGTGTTCCTGGTTACGACTGGGTCAAACGCGAGATGGGGGGTATCCAAAGTGTGTTTAGGTCGCGCCTGGAGGTCGATGCGGTCTGGGAGACGCACCGGATTTGTGACCCCGCCCTTTCCCGGATGATTCGGCTCGAGCCCTGTCCGGCTGGTGAGGGTGTGTTCATGGGGAAGTCGACCGATCCTCCCCACTTCTATGTTTATCAGAGTTTCTTCAGGGACCTAGGCGTTTGCATTCCTTTCACTCAATTTGAGTGTGATTTCTTGAACTACATCAACGCGGCCCCTTGCCAGCTGCATCCCAATAGCTGGGGTTTTTTGAGGGCATTTCAGGTCCTGTG